TTTTTGTTTTGCTTCTTCAGCCCAGTATCTGGTATGTTTTCCTAAAGCCGTGTTTCCTGTTCAGAAACCCCCTCATAATTTATCATCTGACTATTATTTTATTTACCTCCCATAACTTCTAAAATGATCAAACTTTAGTACAGAAGATGGCCCACTGGGCCTGTACTGGACCTTGTTGTTTCACTGAAGCTACCTACACATTGCTTTTCTTCAAGCTATGCTTCCTGCTTGATGACCAATATCCCTTTTGGGATATTTTAACAACGCTGGAGGAGCTGTATAAGTACTGCCCAAACCTTCAACTTCCAAGATGAGGACAATAGGTGTATGGGAACAACATCAGCTTTTAAACCATCAGTTTTAGTTATGAAGAGAAATTGGATAAACTGGGGTTGTTTTCCCTTGAGCAGAGGAGACTGAGGTGGTTATTGTGGTGGGCAGGGAGTCTAGTTTGGGGGATGGGTACATGATTGAAATATATAAAATTATGACGAGCATAGCCAAGGTAGACAAGAAAGAACATGTCCCCTTGGTTGAGGGATCAGTGACCCGGGGCATAGATTTAGGGTAAGGGGCAAGACGTTTGGAGGTGATGTGAGGAAATTATTCTTTCACTCAGATGGTGGTGGCCATCTGGAACTCACTGCCGATAAGGGTGGTAGAGGCAGAAACCTTCATAATATTTAATAAGTATTTAGATGTAAACCTGTGATGCCAAGGCATACAAGGCACAGGCCAAGTGCTGGAAAATAGGGTTAGAATAGATAGGTGGTTGTTTTTAACTGGCACAGGCTCAATGGGTTGAAGGGTCTTTTTTCTGTGCTGTAGACCTCTATGACTATGACTCTTTGACTCAAGTTCCTATATAAATCATATACCATTCTGATGTGGAAATATATGACCATTGTTTTTGGATTAAAATCTGGGAATTCCCTATCTAATACCTTTTCCATTGTTTTTGGATTAAAATCTTGGAACTCCCTATCTAATACCTTTTCCACAGATACAGTAACAGTAACAGCTTTGTGATGACTTTACCAAAAACACCTTGAGTTTTGTTGCTGGCTTATTATTTGCTACAGTCATGTTGACTGACTTCTGTGTACTTCCAACATTATAATTAACATGCACCTTATGATCCAAATTGTGGTTCAAATCTGCTTTAGTACTGTTCAGGCTGTTGAATTGCATAAATCAGTTCTGCTACCCTCTAAACTTTTACTATATTTTGTCGAAATGTTACTGGAACCTTAATGATACATCTCATTAACATCAAAAATTAATAACCAAATGCACAGAAATGCAAAAGTCTTAAGTAATTAAGAACAAAGAATGAAACTGATAATTATTTCAAACACCATGTTTAAAGTCAAAACAATCACAGCTTTAAAACACGTTGCCAAGCAGCTGCAGACAGTAAAACTGAAGAGAGTGCATCTCTATTCTCTTCCAAATTTCACTCCCAACAGGTCATTACTCAAAATTTCTGACTAAGCTCAGTTGAGAACACAATGTACTCTATTACAATTTACCATACTCAACCATTGAAGAAAGTGACTCTTACATCTCTGCTCTTTGCAGTACCTTGGCTAATACACAAAGTATTTTCCATTTGTTGTGATCACAGATTATAACCCTGGTAAAGTTGGCTGCAGATGTAAATTCAGAAGCTCTCTGGAGAGAGTGGCCCTAGGAGGCCACAGGTGGTGAGTTGTCTAAGAATTTCTGAAGAGTGAAAATGCACTACAAACTGAATTTGTAATCTCCGAGGAGTATCTCAGATTGTGAACATGATATTAAAAAGGACAACAGTCTAGGTAAGGCACATATTTCTGATTTCCCCTTCCAAGAATACACAGGGACAGGGATTAAAAGTAAACTTCAATCCTGGTCTGTGTGTGTTAGTGACCTGATGTCCTAGAGTATGGACTAGTGAACTGTGAGGGTCACAGCTCTGACATCAGCAATTTAAATACATTGCAGGTAAAAGAAAGGGAAAAGACTCTCTCTCTATTCTGAGTGCTGCCAGTCAGCCACTACTGAAAGAAATCAGCAGAAAAAAGTGTCAAACAACATTCAAAGCCAAGACTCTCAAAAATAACTGTCCAACTATCAATGTCAAACCTACTAAAATATCCACTGCAATGGTCACAACCATCAAATATACACTTTTCACAAACAATTCAGAGACTGATTCATTTTTTTTAACTTTTATCTTTTTGGAATCACCTCTTACTTCTAATCCGTGTGTGTGTGTGTGTGTGTGTGTGTGTGTGTGTGTGTGTGTGTGTGTGTGTGTGATTATTTCTTCTCATGTCTAGTAATTAATGAACTCACTCTTCTTGTTAATTTGACTTCTTTTAAAAGGTATGTTCATTTGGGCCTAGGACGAAGATATCAACAAGGAAAGGATCCTTTTTAAAAATTAACCTTCTTTCAACCAACCAAAGAGGAATCAGTTCATCCCTCCTCACCCAGGAGCTAACACTTTGAGGCATATCATCTGGAACTATATCAGATTGGGGTACCTCACCTGGAGACTGTCTTAACACTAGAGTGGTGCCAAATGGCCATTAACACTTACAAGCTCCTCAGTCCATGAGTGCAAATAGACGAAAGTTGAAGCTTGCATTTAAACCCTGTCCTAATGTATTCCTGAAAGAGGAAAATTCAAATGAATATCTTGCCCGGACTGCTGTATTTTCTCCCATGGTTTTCACAGTCTGACGTATGCACAGGAGATTACAGTTCAGTTTTTTGGGGAATTCCTCCCTTTGACGTGCCTTTAACACTATATCAAGTAAGACATTCCAAGATCGCTTTCTTTCAGACAGCCACTGAATCTACATACAGAATCATCTTTTATCTATCTCCTCCTTTGAAAAAACCACATGTTGCAGTTCAAAGTTCAGCATGTTTACAGGTAATTATCTGTTGTTGTGATATTATGTTATTCATGCCGTTATTAGACTAATGAATGGACTCTCTAACTTCAAATAATGCTGATATTGTTAATGTTGCTGTTGTCTAGTGCATGTCCTGTGCAGTGTGACCGATATACCTTATTCAGTCCAAGTTTCCTTTTCATCCTGATCTGTATACCCTTGCTCACTATGATCTGCCTGTACTGCTTGCAAACAAAGCTTTTCACTGTACTTCAGTACACGTGACAACAAATCAAATCAATCAACCAATCAATGTAGCAATAATCTACTTGCTGATAGTCAGTTTGGGTTTTATCAGGATCACTCAGCTCCAGAGCTCATTACAGTCTTGGTTCAAACATGGACCAAAATTCTGACAATCAGGAGGTGAGGTAAAAATTCTTGTCTTGCCAGTAGTTCTAACATCACTTGAAAGATTACGAAAAAAGTGTTTTACCTAATTAAATATATTCCACCATGTCACACCAAAGCGCAAGAAAGGATACTTTTCCAGCATACAGCTCAATAGAAAAAAGACAAGACATTCTAAACCTGAGATTTTATTCGGTTAATTCAGTGCAGACTTTGGCTATTCACAGGGGCAATAAAAAAAGTCTTTTGTTTTGGCAGGAAGTAGAGATGAAGTGATTGGAATTGAAACTTTAAGCGGCAGTAAAGCTTTCGCATTAGATAGACAAGATTCGAGGGAAGTATCAAAGAACCAGTAAGATGATAGGTTTATGTTGACTATGAGACTGCCTGCTGCAGGCATCTGTTTTTCAAGATCAAGCTGTACCTCACAAGAAAAGGTGACATTAAAGCCAACCCTTATCTGGTGCACTTACTATGATCTATTGTGTTCCGAATTTTACTTTGAAATTACCATATGTTTTGCACTACAGCACCCCAGTAAACAATGTGCTCTGAAATCCTACATTCTGGGAATTTCTGATGAAGCTGCCACATTACCTTATGAAAAATAGGACAATTTGTAGACTTCAGACGCTGCACTGCCTGAATGATCTGCAACCATAGCAATCTTTAGTGACCAATAGATCGATAGTACTGGGCAGGAATGAATTTTTCATTAGCAATTATAATTTCTTTGTTTTTGTTTGAAAGGACACTGACTGGGGAAATCCTTTTAAAATGAAAATATTTGGACAAGAAAAGGGAGTCAATCATGTTATAACAAAAGGGCAGTGCACTGCAGTAAAAGCAAAACACTGAGGACTTTGGAAATCTGAAACAAATCCAGAAAGTGCTGGAGAAGTTCAGCAGGTCTGGCAGTATTCGTGGGAAGAGAAACTGAATTAACATTTCACATCCAGCATGACTTCTTCAGAACTCCTTCACAGTGCATTGCAACCCAGTTTAAAATGCTTCACTGAGACACTGGCCATTTTCAGTTGGAGGTACTGTATTCAAGCTAATGTTTATCCATGTTGCTGCAATGATGACAATTCAAAACATTTATTTGACTGTAAGGTACTTTGGGATTCCCTGCCATCATGAATGGATGATATATAAACGCAACTTCTTTGTTTTCTTCTTTACTGCAACCAAGATGACAAAAGATTATCTGGTCCTTGCAAACTCCTCCCTATTCTTTCATTTGCTATCACCATCTCATCTTCCCAGCAATCCAGTCGGTGTCTCTTTGAAGGTCTGTAAGGAATCAAGCTCCGAATTCTTCTGTGCCATCCTGACTCTAATCACCTTGTATAATAAAGTTAAACGTTCATCCATCCAATCTCATGCCCCGTTTCCTTAATTTATGGGCTGATTAGGTTCAGTTGCCCCCATCGTCCCAGGCATGACGCATTCACTGTGGTTAATAGCCCATAGACTTTCTGCCATCATTTCTAAATCCTTGCTGTGCATCAGTTCAAATGCTGCAAACCAGCAATTGCTTTTTGCAGTTCAAGAATGTGATGAATTACATAGGATTTGGCCAATAGAAGCAAATTGGTACCCAACTTAGCTGACAGAGACCTGGAGGTCCTAGTGAACAAGAGGTCTGTCCTTTCTTCTCAGTCCCACCAGAGGAGATCACAACACCAGCCTGATCTGAAGTTGCAAACTGGAACATTACGATGTCCATAGTCTGGAGGAACACCCACCAATATTGGAAAGAGGTTCTGCCCTTCTGCGCTTTACAAGGGTAAGTGCCACCATCTTCATTCTGCCCTCTCACACTCATTCTAACTCTGTCACTGCAAACACCCAATAGATGGCCTAGTAGTATTACTGCTATTTATCCAGAAACCCAGCATATTATAGGGACCTTTATTCAAATCCCCCCACCGCAGATGTTGGAATTTTGAATTCAATTAAAAAAAAATCTACTGATTACCTTAGAACCACATACCTGGTGTAGCCTACATGTGTCTCCAGACCCACAGTAGTGTGGTTGACTCCCAGCTGCCCACTGAAATGGCCTAGAAAGCCACTCAGTTCAAAGGCAGCTAGAGATAGGCTATAAATCCTGGCCAGCCAGCAATGCCCATATCTGAGTGAATTAAAAGAACTCCCTTTAATTTTTTTTTGTGGTGTGCAGACTTTTGAGGTCCATGCGCAGCACTGACTTCAAAAACCAGAAGTCAATACGTTGGCACATCAATCAATGTGCACAGAACCTTGGAAGTGCAGCTGAACAGTTTAGAGGGAACATTGCAAATACCTCCCACTAAGACTCATGGTCTACCACTTTGATCATTACACACAGTGTCTTCCCTCAATGCTTCACCTATTCCATTCTTCCAAAGTACTAATCCATCCTGCCCTCTTGTGCTTCCTACTTGCTCACTCACTACATTTCCCCTACCTGCACAAATATAAAAGCTGAGCTAGCTACTTAATCCCATCCTTTTCTCACATCATGAGAAAGCAGCTCACAGTCAGGCAGAGAGGGCCAAGATAGATGATGAGGTAACCAACGTGCATTTGCTCACCCCCTATGTGAAAAGAAGACTTGGTTTAGCAGAAGATAACAGTAACTGCTCGTGTGTGATGCTGAGACTTCAGTTAGATTCGTTATGTGATGCTACACTGCTCTCCCATTTCCACCATTATGAATGCATTCTCAACATGCCCAAATTTCTAACCCAACTGCACAACTCATTCACTTTCTTGACTTCTGCAGGTATGATTTGCCACCATATAGTCTCCACCATGAAGACAGCAATCCTCCAGCCAATAAATCCTCTTGCACTTCTGAGGAAGAAGGCACACATCCCTCAGAGGAAGGACCAATAGGACTTTCTCCTGTACCCTCTACCAGCTCAGATACTGACACCTCAATGAGCGCATTAGCAAAATTACAGTCATGAGCACAATCTGATCAGTACCTCATTGAAACATCTGTGCAGCTGACTGAGTGAAAAACCTCCCCAAGTCACTAGCACACATCAGAGGACTCCTGAAGACCAGGCACCTGCTGAGCCTTAGGCAAAAGAGACCCAGTAAGTCTGGACCCTCTCTGCCCAAACCTTCCCAGACTTCCATCAAACCAGCTGTGCACCCCAGGACTGCATCTAGAAGTAGTGGGAGGGAAAGGAAAAAGAAAACATGTGAGAATACTTAGGTGGCATGTGTGACACTTCATTGTAAATTAAATTCACATTTGTAAGTATATTTTCACTTTACAGCATCACCTGTCTGATTAACTACCATTTTAACTGCAACTCCAAGAATGAAGCCTTAGAGGATACCTACCTTTAATGCCACACAATATTTGAGCCCTGTCTGAAGGAGTGCCAGTCTTTCTCCAGCACCCATACTAGCAGAAAACATTGTTAAGTTTGAATATGGGAAAATCAGACGTTGTGAATCCTTTCAACAGATTGTAAAGTAAACTTCTTTTGAACAATAGGAAAAGCAAAGAATGAACAAAGCCGTTTTTGAGAGAAAAGTACCAGAAATTTAAAATAAAAACAGAAAATGCCAGACATCTACAGAGATAGAAACAGGGTTAACTTTCTGAGTCTGGTATGTTTTTTCTTCAGAACAACTCAATGAGCTGCATTTACAAATGGGATTATACAGAGGCTGCTTGCAATTCCATCATAAACACATTTACAGCCCATGATTGATTACTTCATCCAACTCAGTTCCTTTAAAGGTGGTTGCCAAAGAGCTCCTGTGTGTGAAGCTGCAGCTGATGTTGATGCAATATAGCATGGTGAAGGTGATGTTCCTGCTGATCAACATCCCCTCATTTCTCCTTGCAATAATGCTGCAGATCTCACAGATCCTCATCATCCATCAAATACCTTCATTGCCTGTTTCAGTTGTCCACAGTACAGAATACAGGAATCATGCGGCACACTCTGTCTGTACTGTACTGCAACAAAGCCCCCCCAGACCTCAGCAAGCATGGAAACCTCATCTGGAGGAGACATTGTATGACCCTCAATGGTTCCAGTGGAAGAAGGTGTTGCATTGCATTAATGCTGGACCTCGTGACATGGTACACTCACAGCTGCCTGTGTACAGTCTGTAATGCTCTGGATTGTTCCAGGAGATGACACAGATCTATTGCAATGTCCCAGGAAATCCTCATTTGGTAACACCACTGTACCTTGCTCATCTGGGGTACATTACATCAAAAATGAAAGACTGTGGGTCTCATGCACTTTCATACAGTGACGTTTTTCTGGAAACTTTGCATTAGGAAGCTGCTCTACATCCACTGGTGGTTACTGCTCGTCCTGAGCTTCCAGACATTTGTATTCCTCATCAATTTCAGTGGCTGCTCATAGTGCAGAAAACAAAAAGATGACAACGGCTTTCGTGTCAGGATCCATAATTGACAGTTCGAATGAACCTACATGGACGATATCAGGAACAAAGCAGCTCCTCGGTGACGTGATCAGTCGGCAGTCTCAACATATACAAACAGCATTTAACAAAAAACTGGAAAAGGACAATGGATTACATAGAACATCTTACTCAGATGTATGCTGCACAAGCTGGGAAGGCAATGGCCTAGTGGTATTATTGCTAGACTATTAATCCAAAAAACTCAGCTAAGATCTGGAGAAAACCAAAGAAGTGCAGATGCAGGAAATCAGAAACAAAAACAGAAATTGCTGGAAAAACATACATATCCAAAGGATCATTAGTCATCACTTCCTTGCCTCCAGCAGGATATCACCACCAGACAAAATATTTGCCTCCCCTCCCTTGTCAACCTTCCACAGGGAACATTTCCTCTGGGATAGTCTGATCCACACCTCCTTCACTCCCAGCACTTCCCCTCAGTCCCATGGCACTATCCCCTGCAATTGCAGAAGGTGTAACACTTGCCCATTTACTTCCTCCCTCCTCACAATCAAAGACCCCAGACACATCTTCCAGGTAATGGAGTGATTTATCTGCATTTCACTTCAATCTAGTCTGCTGTATTCACTATTCATAACGTGTTCTCCTCTACATTAGGGTAACAAAGCACAGACTGGGCAACTGCTTTGCAGAACACATATGTTCTATCCACAAAAATGACCCTGTGTTTCCTGGCCAAGCAAGCTGGAAGAACACCTCATTTTTTGCTTCGTAACTCTGCAGTCTTTTGGATTCAATATTGAATTCAACAATTTTAGGGCCTGAGCACCTTCTTCCATGTCCTTACCCCAACTCCCACACACCAAGCCTTGTCATCATATGACTTCCTCTTACAATCAACCCATTGTCAGCTACTAATGGTTCAAATTAGCAATTATTCATTCCCTCAGGCTGAATACCCATTCTTTTATCTGCCCAACTGCTGTTCTCTCCCTATGGGCTCCATCTCTACCTATTGTTTACTCCTCCCCCACCACCACCCAACTCCTTCTTTAGCATATACACCCATCCTTTCCTAGCTACAATCAGTTCTGAAGAAGGTTCACTGGACCCAAAATGTTAACTCCATTTTCTGTCTACAGATGCTGCTAGACCTGCAGAGTTTTTCCAGCAATTTCTGCTAAGATTCTGGGGACCCAGGTTTGAGTCTGACCATGGAAGACAGAGGAATTTGAATTCAATTTTTAAAAAAAAACTGGAATTAAGAATCTACTGATGACTGTGAAACCATTGTTGATTGTTGGGAAACCTTATTTGCCTTCATTTAATGTGAAGGAAATCTGCCATCTTTACCTGGCCTGGCCAACATGTGACTCCAGACCCACAACCAAAGTAGTTGACTCTTAATTGCTTTCTGAAATAGCCTAACAAGCCAGTCAGTTGTATCAATCGCTACAAAGTCTCAACAAAGAAATGAAATCAGACAGACCACCTGGCATTGACCCAGGCGCCCAGTTAACCCTGCAAATTCCTCTTCACTAACATCTAGGAGCTGGTGCCAAAATTGGGAGAGCTGTCTCCAAGACTAGTAAAGCAACACCCTGAACATAGTCATTGGCACAGAATAATACCTCACAGACAATGTCCCAAACTGTACCATCACCATCCCGTCCAGCAGGACAGACCCAGCAGAGCTGGTGTCGCATTGGTATACAGGGAAGGAGTTGCCCCGGGAGTCCTCAACATTGACTCTGGACCCCATGAAGTGTCATGGTTTCGGGTTAAAAATGGGCAAGGAAACCTCCTGATTACCATGTACCGTCCTCCCTCAGCTGATGAATCGGTTCTCCTACATGTTGAACAGCACTTAGAGGAGGCACTGAGGATGGCAAGGGCACAAAATGTACTCTGAGTGGGGGATTTCAATTTCCACTACCAAAAGTGGCTCGGCAGCAGTACGACTGATCAAGCTGGTCAGATTCTAAAGAACAAAGCTGCTAGACTGGGCCTATGGCAGGTGGTGAGGGAACTCAAAGAGGAAAAACATATTTGACCTCATCCTTGCCAATCTGCCAGCTGCGGATTCATCTGTCCATGACAGTATCGGTAAGAATGACCACTGTACAGTCCTAGAAGATACAAAGTCCTGCCTTCACATTGAGAATAACCTCCATCGTATTGGGTGGCACTATCACCGTCCTAATGAGACAGATTTCGAACAGATCTAACAAATCAAGATTGGGCGTGCATGAGACATTGTAGCCAACAAGCAAAGGTGTATTCAATCACAATCAGCAACTCATGACCCTGCATCTCCCCCAATCTACCATCACCATCAAGCCAGGGGATCAACCATGGTTCAATGGAGGGTGCAGGAGG